ACCCTAAAATCAGGGTTTCGATTCCCGTAGTGAGCACAGATGGATAGTTCATTGAGTAGCTTTGCATGTAAAAACGAAACAAACAAACTCTACAAAGATTAGTAAAAAAATTCGTTGAAAAATGTGAGATACGTTTATTAAATAATCAAGATGACTTTAATAATTGTTAGAAAAACAACTAATAAACTGATTTGATGAAGAGTGAAAAATACTGATAAAAGAAATATAAGAAATATCGGACATAATTTTAAAACAATATTTAAAAGCATATTTAAACCAAATTATTTCTTAATAGCGCTACTTTTTGAGATCAGATACCAAACAGTAGCTCATGAAACATAAACTACAGACAAAGATTTATTGTATAAAGATGTAAAGCATATATTCTTTGTATTTCGTATGTAAACACTAATTTTAACTCGATTTATCTTATAGCATCTTATCAAATTGACTTTTTACAGGGGTTGGATACCTTATATACAAACCATTCTATAGCCTTACCATGTCAGATCAGGTTCTAACTGACGAACATGCATCGTAGCAAAAGCACTGCAACGTAGTTTCCGTCGCAAAAGGCCCCGTTGTAAAGTTGTCATGTTCCAAACACATCACCCCTACATCCATGCTTTTCATACTCCTTATAGTGTATGGGGACAATGGTTTTCAAGCTCTCGTTTCAATAGACCGAGCAACCAAATCCATAGGTGCTCTGTCTAGCGATTTGAACGGTATTTCTTCATATGGAATAGTATAGATATCCATTTCATTCTCCAGCTTCTTGAGGCATGCGACAGTTTGGCAGATATGTCACAAAAGCAACTTGTGTACGTATGAATTATATCACTTTTCCAGACGGTGGTCCTTCATTATGTTGCATATTGTTGCCTAGTGCAGGTAGACGGCTTTGTGTTTACGTATTCTCACTAATTGTAAGACTGCACTTTGCTTACCATGACTGGGTTATGACTTGTTGCAGGTCTCTTTCTGGAGCCCCCCAGTGGCACAGCGGTATGTCTGCTCACTTATACCGCTAGAAACCGGGTTTCGATACCCGTGGTGGGCAGAGCACAGATAGCCCATTGTGTAGCTTTGTGCTTAACTACAAACAAACAAATAAACTATTTCTGGATGGTCCTGGTGCCTCAACTTCATCTACATGTACATTCCTTTGTCTTCCAACGCCATTTAGTACAAAGAAAAGCCCTGTCTTGATAATTATATATTCCCGATCTGAACAATTCTTTAAGATCTGAGTTTATGAATTTCTACGTAGGAAAAGGATGTTACATACTTTCCCAAAAATAGATAAATTTTCGGTCACTTTACACTACCCATACAACGCCAAACAATGTCAAAATGTAGTTCTGAAACATTCCGCTCCACCACAACTGTATACCGGCGTTGATTATCACGTTATTTGCAGATCTTCATATTGAAAATCGTTTTAACATATTGTACGGAACTCTTTGTATACACTAAATAGCGGTTCCATTTTTCATAAAATTTTCTTTTTATATCATGAATCAAAGAGCAGAAAAATGTTCAGTGTTTCGTAAATTTCCTTATTTCAACAATAATACCAGAATATCGGCAACAGTGGGTGAAGGAATAAAATTGATTTAAATTCTAAAGGAGGTGCTAACATTCACTAACATTTACTTTTTACTCTTTGTTGATGTTTTCAAACACAGCACAAATAATTAGTTACTATCCCTATATATATAATTATTGAACAAAGCAGAGGGCTGGTCATGTCATGCTTTATTTGTTACAACCATTGTCCTCATACTATTAGCAACAGTGGCGGCATGTTAAGCACGTATATATGTGGGTCACAGTGAAGCCTGAAATAAACAAAAACTTCATAGAGCAAGATTATTAGATAATGTAGAGCTAAAGGACATAATGTTTCGAAAAAAAGAAGCGTTCAATGTTTTCCACTGGAGCATAAAAATTCGCACAGCAGAGTGCGTACGACAACATCAAGCTAAAAAAACAAACACCAGTTTAATCTGGAACAAAGTTCTCTTTCGCAGAGTGAAGGCTGTGGTTACAATAGAAAGCCTTCTTGCACAAAAAGCTATTGCAGTAAAGCTGGGTAAATGTTTTAGTACTATTAACATAATAAATAATGATTTGAAGCTGGCAAGGGCTCACAAACTTCCATTCACATATCGAATAAATGATTGTTTTCATGATTAACCTTAGTAACACTGACTAGAATTTATTTTACCATGAAGGAGCTACCCAAGAAAACTAAACCCAAGAACTAAAGCTTAGAAGTTTATGTAATAACCTAAAATGCATTGACTTATGTATGAACGTTACAAAAATAATTAATAAAAAGTCTTAATATAGAATACTTCTACAGCTCTCAGTTGTAATTGTCTCGATTGTAAACTCATCTTATTACAATCACTGGTAAGGGTAATTAGCTTATCAGCCATGTTTAAACACTCAAATACTGTTTAGTTCCCCTAAACAATTAATTTGTAATATTGATATGCTAGCTGTGTTATTTCAATGATCAACTATTGTATTTATCTATTTGTAGGAGACATACACAATAACCCAGTAGAAACTTTTTATTTTTTAAATTTTACCAGTGTAACTGAAACCGTTAAGAGAACAGGTGTGGCAGGTGTTTCTTTTCCATTTAGTATAGGAGAACACGAATTAACCTTATAAAATTTTCGAAAGTTGTGACACATACACACTAAGCATGTGCGTAGGTTTAATAATAAAGAACTGTTTCTAAAATGTAGCGAACTTGTTGTTGTCCTGCTTACACGTTGTCGTGGGTCGTTTTCCTTTGGTACCTGTGGATTTCTCTCCCGGATGATGTCTTAGAGGAATTCTGTGGTTTTTATAGTGAGGTTAACTGTGTAGATATAGCGACATCTAGAGAATGTGTCCTTTAGTTTTACTTATGAGGTGACAAAATGTGACTTAGCTAGCACCAGTGGCGTAGCAAATACCCCCCACAACCATTGCAGTGCGGAGGGTCCCGAGCTTAGGGAGCCCTCAATTTCTTTTAACTTATCCATGTACATCCGGCACATGTCAGGTGCCCGCAGAATTTTAAAAACATAACAAGGATGGCAGGGAAGCCAGGGTTACAGGGATACTTCGTAATTCGCACTCTGGAGCCTACACAAGCCCATAATAACTTTGTTAGATGGCTCTATCGGGAGCCCGTAGTGACTGTTGAGTTAAACAGCCATGTCGCCGCTTTTGCTTAGAAAAGACAAAACAAATCCTTTGCGCAAAGCCGTTCCACGAGGGGGGGGGGGGGCAGACGTGATTTTTGCGGGGAGGCCCCGCCATCTTGCCCTACGCCACTGGCTAACACATGTGTTCTAGGACAGTTTGTTTGGAATTAAGCACAAAGCTAAACAATGGGCTATCTGTGCTCTGCCCACCATAGGTATAGAAACCAGGTTTCTAGCGTTGTGAGCTCGCAGACATACCGCTGTGCCACTGGGGGCTTCTAGGACAGATTGCCTTATTGTTTTTTATATATATCTAGTGGTTAACTCTCTCAATCTTATATAAATTTCATTTACATTTCTCAGAGATTTCCCACTCATTAAGACCTCTCTCCAGCCTCCAGAGAGAAGCACTGTCTGCTCTTTCGTGTATACGTGACCTGTTGAATTGTATTTATTTGTCTTTTGTAAAATAGAGAATACTTGGTTTTTCATCAACAAGTTGTGCCAAATTTCTTTTTTCAGTTCAGTTAGGTACGAAACACTGCTTAAAGTTTTCTGCCATTCCTCTGGTTTCTGCGGTTATTATTCTTACATGTACTTGAGAATACCACAAACTTATATTATATATACACACTCAGAATGTGCTCATAAATCAAAATATTTTATTTTCAATGACATTCTTAAAAATACTCTCAGGTGGTTCTGGTCAAAAATAAACATAACAAAATTGTAACTATGAAAGACTAAGCACAGTTATAAACAGTATTATATCTCTTAGAAAACTGAACTATGTAGCATGTTTTTGGTTCTGGAAAACTAAAAACATATTTATCTGAACAGAATTGAAAAAACAACAAAACAAACAAAGACAACTGTATATTTTACAAAACGTCATTTAATAATGACCATGGTTTCGCCAGTAAATGCATCATCAGGTACAGCAAAACCATGGTCATTAAAAATGAAGTTTTTGTGAAAAGTACAATTGTCGTTGTTTTTTTTCCTCAATTCTATAGTAATGGAGTTTCACCAAGTACCGACTATTTCAAGTATCGATTGTGTATTTATTTGCTTTTTAAACTTTACCAGCATAACTACATAGAGAAATATATTGTGTTTAATAGACCAAATTATAACTTTTGAATTATTATAACTATTTTAGGTACATATGTATGTCAGATTAGTGCATGTGTGAATGCATTTTTTATTGGTTACACAGGGTAGTAAGAAACTGAAGTATTTTTAGTAACATGTGTGAAATTTTCAGGTTAACTAGTTGTGATTAATCGCTTCAATAATTTAGTCAAGTATTTGTTTTTTGCTTTTTTGTTGTTGCTGCTGCTGTTAAGCCCAAAGTTACATAAAGGGCTATGTATGTTCTGCCGATTTTTAGCGTTGTAAGCCCACAGACTTACTGTTGAACCAACAGGGTGGAGGTCTAGTCAACTTTATTATAAGTTAAATATCGCATGTATGCATTCTAGCTCATTGTTAAGACTTAACTTTAACTTTCTTTGACAAAAAAACACATTTAACATAGTAAACCCCTGCATAATTAAAGACAAATAAAAATAAATATGTTCCCTAGATATGCATCACCTAAACTTAAACTAAAAGTATATGTGCTATAAATTACATTTAAACATTACCTTTATCTACGCAAACGATATCCGGTTTCAGTTTTGATTTTCTAAAAGATAGTGCTACCTATAGGAGTTTTTTGGTAACGAGAGTTTAACCAATGAAACTGATTGAGAGGGGGTGCGAAATTGAGTGTCACTGTCAAAGGCAAAATGGAAGGGTGTAGGTGGTGGCATCGAAGACATCATGGTCAATAGTGAAAATTAGGGGAAAATGAAATAATGTCAGCTGCAGTAAGTAATATTTTTGTTCTTAAATATGAGATTCTGTATAAACAAACTTTTTAATTTGAAGAATGTAGACATAAAAATATTTATCAGGAACCAACGAAGGTACTCAGTAAAAATTACTTTAATTTTAAAGTTTATGGTTTAACTGCGACTGAGTGCTAGTGCTACAATACAGTCTACGCTACTGCTTAAGTTACGTTATTTTTCTCGTGGAATTAATTTACAAATAATAATAATACAAGTTACAGCCATTGCACATGATGAATAATGACCAGACAATCCCCTGCCAGTATTAAATAATACTATAACTGTATTTAATTTATGGCTGTATGAGTATTGATTTGTGTAATGGTGATAGCTTTAAATGTTTGAAGTTTGAGAGAAACTCGCGACTGTTTTTTATTTTTGCTTAATTTAGCAAGTAACCCTAAGTTACTACTACTAATAGTAAAAGTTAGGCCCATATTTTTACGTTTTGAATGAAGAATAGTATTAACTATTTCTATTGGCAATGTTTTTTACTGTTGTTATTGTAATTGAAACAAGAAAAAAATTATAAATATGATATAGATAGTGTCTGTGTGGAAGACTACAAATAAATTCAACTTCTCTAAGTTAGTATAAAATATATACTTGACGATTTAAATTGATATGTTAACAATTTTTGTGTTATACATATTAATTCCATTGTATCATGTTTTATCTAGTCAGTTTATTTTAGTTATGAGTTTTAATTTTTAAAAAAATATTTGTGTTACCATATTGAGAAACATATTTTGAAAATAGGCAATTCTTAGTAAATTTTTATTCAAAGTATGTTTAAAAAAACATTGTAACACAGACAATGTGATTATAATTGGAAATATTAGTACTTTTATTGGCTGACATTAAACATTATTTAATGTTGATCTATTATAAAAGCTACAGCTTACTCTCACTTACAACTCTGGTTTATTATATAAAAATTTCAGAAAATTTAAAGTGTGTAATAGTGCATGATGAAAATCTTCCAAATAGAAGTCTAAAAATGTTTCTAACATCATTTGTAATTTCATAGTAGTTTTAATGTAAGTTAAGTCTTGGTTGGGCGATAATAACATTTCACCCTGCAATATTAAAATATATATATTTGTTTATAATTTTATTGAATATTTTGGTGAGGGCCATATTATAATTAGAGTGAAGGACATTTAATGGATTTCAAAATACTAAAGACGGATGTAAAAAATATAAATACAAACTCTACCTTATCAAGAAAATAACTTTACAATCTCATTAATCTGAGAAATAATTTTACCAAATAAAAAGCCTAGAATAGGTTTCCAAGCTTAAACTTGTTATTCCTAATATTTAAGTTTACATTTTGCATTCCACCCCCAGACTTGGGTATACATGGGTAAATTATCCAGCTCTTAACAACTTTAAACATCTGAATCAGTTCACTTCTATTTGTTTTATGGTCTAGAGAAAACAAGTTTAAGTCTTGCAACTTCTCTTTATAGTGCTGAAAATTTTTAAGCCAGATTTTATTCTAATATCCTGTTCAAGTGCTCTTTCCAGTTTGAGCTTCTTTTTTTTTCGTAAAACAAGTCACCAAAAGCTGCATAAAACATTCTAAATGAAAGCTTACTAGAAGTTTATACAAAGTCATAATAACCCTATTACACTCTCATTAAAAATTGTATAAATAGATCCCATAACTCTGTTAGCTCTTTCACCAAAACAATCAACAGATGACCTTATAGTTTTTATCACACCTTAAATGCATTTTCTCAAAATTACAAACTTCCTTGTATTAAAACTCATTTAATATGTTTTTGTTTTATCATTAAGACTATAAGTTCTGAGTAAGAGGAATATTATTAACAGTATTAGCCTTTCCCAGAAATTTAATATCAGAAATGTTATTGTCTAAGAAGCTACTACATCTAAACAATTGATATAAATAATAAAAACAAAATGTCTGTAATACTCCACAAGTCACATTCTTCTTGTCAGAAAAATATCCATGTGATTGAACCACTGTCATTATAGTATACTGTGAAGATTTAATATTCTTGAAAATACTAGTATTTACAGTTAAACATATGCATTATTTTGCCCTATTTTCAGGAGCAGAGACAGTTTCCATACAAAGTATGGAGCTGCAACAGGGATATAAGGAAATCGGTTATGGCAGCTTCACTTTCAGATATCAGAGTAAAAGGTGAGAACCATTTAAATATTTGTTCCTTTTTGATCATTCACAAGCTTTGAAGGTAATTAATTCAGTTCTTCATGTTAGTAAATGTAAATTTGTTGATTAAACTTCAGTAACATGTAATAATTACCTGAATGTGCATACCTAACCATATTTTTTCATGCAGGTGACCAAATTAAATTATTAATTATTAGAGGATGTTAGTAATTAGATTTTTTCATAAGAAAACAGGTTGGAATGACAGAAAATTCACTTATAGTTGAAATTTACATCATCACATAAATTTGTTATTGAATTGTTCCCTTTCACATCTATTGTTGCTCCTTATTGTAACTATGTATTTGTTTTCTATTTGTGTTATCTTGTTATTAAACTATTAATGTAGTTATATTTTCATGTTTTTATTTTTTGGGGTGTTTTGAGAATCAGCCAAAAATCCAGAGGGATAGCATAATTAAATACAAACTGACCTTTAAAATGCATTTTAGTATGTTACTTCATATTTGTCAGTAACTTTCAATTGGTACTATTATTGAAGACATTTTTACATATCTTGTAAAATTTTGAAGTGTTTGTGTCAGCATAAATAAAAAATTGTAACCTGTACCTTACAAACTAATAAATATTAGCATTATATTTATCTAATATTTGTTTAAAAGTATTAAATTAACATGTCATTAAGCTTGTGGTTGACAACATTTACTGTATTATTGTCTCTTTCTTGTTTAAATTGTAAGTAGTGTCATACAGTTTCTGTTTAAAATGTCAATAGTCAATAATATTGAAATAAAATGTGTACTTCCTCCTTATATTTAAAAACTTTTTCTGAAAAGTATATAGTAAAACTTCTTATAGCTTGTAACACAAATTAGAAACTGTAATTTTGTGTACAGTCTTGATTTATAATGAATTTTGTAAGAGTTTGTTGGCTACAGTTGCAAACACCTGTTATCCTGTAATTTTTTAAATGATTTACTTCTTATTATAAATTGTATATCCAGGGCTTTTAAGAAATATTATTAGTTATAAGATTGGTTTTTATGTTAAAGAGTAAACTGCAATTCTGGAAGTTTTTTATTTCTCTCTATCAAATAAATGAGCATTTTTAAATAGTATTATTCTTTGATCTTGCATTTAACCGAAATATTACAACTGAACCAGATAAATCTACACAGTTTGGTGCAAAATTAGTTATATTAGTTTTTGGATGCATGATTGTAGATATTGAGACAGCTAAAAATATGAACATATGTTAGAACAACAAAGTACATGAGATATGTTAGTTATGTGATTTAATACAAATAAAAATAACTTTATTATGTTAGTTTTATACATAAAATATTTTGCCTTATGTTTCTAAATTATCAAGGTTTACCTGAAGATGCTACATGTAGTGTTGTATAAAAGTCTATCAAAAGCTTTGTTGTATTTAATACTGCAGTCCTGAATGCATATGTTAATAATTAGATTTATATATGAAATGGGATATATATATATATGTATATCAAAGTTTCAGATAAAAACCTGAGTCATACCATACACCAAGATTAAGTGCCACTTTGAAATCTAAAAAAACAACAAAAACTAAGACATAATTGTACAATTCAGTGAAAATTCAATTCAATGTAAAACTAATTTGGAACAAGTACTGCCTGCAGGCTTATAACACTTCAAATCAAGTTTCAATACCCATGGTAGGCAGTAAGCACATTGTTTAGCTTTAGGCTTAACAATAACCAAATCAATGTTAATTTTCCTTTGGATAATAACTATCCCTTGTAAAAGCTCCTTTTCTGTATAGCAGTAATGTAAAGCAGGAAACAAATTACTTGCAACACCTTATGATGGATATTGGATATTTATAGCATATATTAATTTATTTTTGCATAACTAATTTCAACCTATATTTCTGTTATTAAATAGGCTTTTGGTAACAGCATTTTGATCCTTTAAGAAATTTAAATGAAAATTACTTTAATCAAAGAATAGATAGAGTAATGTAATAATAAATCTTATTTTACAGACATGAGGTAAAATTGGCAACATGAATATCTATGAAGAGGTAACTGTAAATTTGACATTTGATTTGAATTAGCTTTAAAACAGGATAGAATTATTTTCATTTTGAATTTATTTACGTAAAGACCAAAATTTGACATATAATTCTATAATAGAAAACTTTTGCTTAAAATCAGAACTTTAACTAAAATTCGCTGCATTTATTTTGAATTTTTTACTTTCACATTATTCAAGTATACTATAGCTTGTAGTGTTTGCTAATCAATTAATCAATGGCCCAGTGTTCTTCAAACTTTGGTTTGGACAAGCAAAAAAAAAACAACATTGGTGCAGGTGGTGTCATTTCGTTGTCCTCCCTCAGTAAACAGTTCAATAACAAAAAAGCCACTTCTCTGATCACCAGTCTAAAATTAGTGACAGTGGCAAAAAGCCTTAGTAGCTTTGCCAGAACAAATACAGGACAAGCAAGTTTGGTGGCAACATTTCAATTACTTGGAATAATTAAAAACCCTAATTTTGATTACTTCATTATTTTTATGACACTTGATTTAATTGTAAATTTGTTTAAGATACTAATTTTAAGTGAGTAAGATGCCAAACATTATTCACTTGTAGTATTTCTCATTTTTGCTTCATTTTGGAAAACAATTAACATATCAATTATAAAACATTACAGTAGCATGTCGAAAATTGACAACTTGAAGCAATTTCATAGTTTAAAAGTAACTTTCTCATCGAAAGAAGTTTTAAGCATTTTTGTCACCTGCATTCATTATGAATATCCACAAGACCTACTTTTCTGAGTTTTAACAAAATCACGTTTGATTTTAATCAGTTGGTTTCTGAAATTTTTTCCTATACATTTATAAACACTCAAAAATAATCATAAACCATTGTATTTTGTTTGATACTATACTTTTGTATACATATTTACAAAATATAAATTAAGTTACATTGTTATTCAGCATTCTAACTCTGTAATATGGTACTTGATAAGGAAATGAGAAAAATTAGGTAAATAATAATTAAAACACCTTATAACACAAACATTTGTGAATGTGAATTACCAACTTTCTTTGGAAAAGCTTGGGCTATCAGTTTCCTTTAATTCAGGTCTACCTTCCACAAATACTCAGTGTATTAGTGTCTTTAATGTACATTTAGGCCTATCTTGTAAAGTATTAAAGTTTGAGGGTTTCAATTTATTATTGTACAATATCAATAAATTTTCATGAACTGGAATGTGAACCTACATTTCATGTTTATAACACAGGGTTCTATAATGGATAAGAAGAATAAAAACTTAATTAAGTCCATTCTAATTTGTTTTGAAGATAATCATAAGTTAAAAAGTGCATGTAATTTCCAAAGAGAAGTTCTAAAGAAAAATACTTGAACCTAGTATTTATTACTACCTGTTAGGCTACACAAGGATGAAATTTCTCTAGTTTGTTTTTGAGAGAGTAAGTTTTGGCACTTTTGCACTCCCAGGGTATGCCAAGGCCAGTCAGTATGCTTAGCTTATTTACTACAGCTTATCTGATCAGTATTTTTCAAGAAGAGAAATGTATATAATTTGTAAAGAAACAAATAAAACAGTCTCATTAGATTTTATAAATGACATATCTTAATGTCTTAAAAGTGAAGTATAGGTATGTGCAATATATTAATGTTTTTGATCTATTTTTATTATTACAAAAGCATTCAGGAAATAAATCGAGAGTTTACATATTAAACTTTTAAATCATATTATATATAGTCTTAAAAGTAATTTTACTAAATCTGATTTTAAGCTACATTATGGCTGTTATCTGCAATGTGTTTTTAACTCAAAAGTATCACAATTTTATTATAAAAGTTGGACAGTCTATATCATAAGTTAGGTGAATTAATCTTAACCCATTTTTATAGACTATCTTGTATTCTAAAAACAAATAGGCTACTCAATTAGTAGAAACTTTACCTTTGTGTCTAATTTCTGTGATCATTGAGGTTACTCAACTTGTAAGAGTTTTCAAATTGTGTCAGTAAAACAAACACAAATAATATAACTGAATAGAATAAATGTAATATTTTGTTAGAAAATGGCAGTTGACTAACTGGTGATAAAGTGCTCGAATTTCTTCTTTACTATAGGTGGAGAAAAACTAGGTTACAGTAACCCCTCCGAGCTCAAAGTGGTGCTAGAAAGTGATGGAACAGAGGTTGAAGATGATAATTACTTTAAAACAGTGGATAAAGACACAATCTTCATCCTGCTCCGTCCTGCGGAACGGTGGTTCCCCCCTAGCATGGAAACATTACGAGCAGGTGAGTATTCAATCTGTTATTCTTAATAATACAAGAAGAAACTGAGTGAGTCTAATTAGGAAGAAATGACATAATAGTTCAACCATAGAACAATAGAACACTTCATATGTAGCAGAGCAAACAGTGTTAATTTACTTGATGACATTCAGTTTTATAATACAACAAATATTGAAACTGGAGATATTTGTTAAATGAATACAGTTGTTAATAATTTAATAAATATCATTTATGAGTAGTGTGAATGTATTTATGGAATCTTTTTATCACAAAGCATTTTAGACTTCTGTAAGTTGTCTTCTGTGCTTATACCTGTATATTGGTTTAAGTTAGTTATTAAAAAAAAAAGTCTTCTTTCATTTTCCCATGATTTGAAACTTAAAATGTTATTGTTTAACTTATCTTTTACTTTCAATTTCATGGTAGACAATTTCAGTAAAATCCAGAGTTTAACCCTTTTTTCTGATTTCCATTCCTAGATTAAAACTATATACCCCTCCTATTTTATTATGCAATTTATGTAAACTCTCCTCCACTTCCAGGACAGTAGGACATGTTAATTAGTAAAAACAGCTCTCATTCTTTTGTTTTTCAGGGAGTTTCAAATATTATTTCTTTTTTTACATCACCATGCATTTTGTACTTAATAAAAGGAAGCCTTCACATTGTAAATTTAATCCTTTTCTTAATGCTTAAAGCCTGTCTGACCAGTTTACAAATATGTTATCTGCTTTATATTTGGTACATTCTTTGTGAAACATAACTACTCTTTTATAACCAGATTGTCAGACTTTTTGTTGTTTTTTTGGGTGGTCATTTCCTCTGACTATCTCTCCTACTGTTTGGCAATGCTTCTTCATTGAAATTCAGTTGAAAATATACTTTCACATCTGTTACTTATGCTTGGGCTTCTCATTAATAGAAATTATTAAACATCTTTTCAATTGTAGTTAAGTGTTTCAGTAGAGATCAACTTGTGTACTATAATATCTGTTGATGATTTTATTTGTACTTAAAACCATGTTAACTTGTATTATATTGATTGATCTGTTATTAATCTAAAATGATGTATTCTTTAGACTTTATAGTCATTTCCTTTATACTTTATGTAATTTACTCTTGAAGGTGATTTAAGTAAGTGGGGCAGGATTGCAAATTTTTTTAACTTTCCATTTCTCTGAGGTAAGCTAATATTTTGTACTGAAAAAAAAAAGAAATAAGATTATACTTTGCATAAAGTAAACCACTTGTAATGTTCCATATATCTTTTGGTATTATAATTTCAAGTTTGAGATATTTTGTGAAAGAAACCAAATGAAGCTATAAACATTTCTTTAGTAACTACTCAATGAACACTTCTTCAGTGTTATGAGTCATAGGCTGGTTGCTCTGTTACAGATTAGTAGAATAAGGTTTATTAGTCTTGTGTCGTTCTCCACCTTCCTGTTACATAGTAGTAGGAGTATAAGACATATACTAGTGTCGGGAACAAAATAGTTTGGTAGATTTTGTCACAATGTTAAGTTATGTTTGCTAATTGTCAATTAAAGGCTTTTACTTATACTTCTTAATAGTATAAATATGTAATGTGTTGTTGTTGTTGGGCTTAGGATTCTTCTACAGTAGGTGTCTGTGACTTGTTGGCAATAAAATCAATGATAAATGAATAGCACGCACTTCACTTCGTTTTCAAAATAATATATATATATATATATTCGGAACAAGTTAAATGTATATACCATAAATTCTTTACAATATAGAGATTACAGGCATATCATAAACACTATATATAGTTCTCTTCTTCTTGTCAAAAGTCCACTTAGGCCTATTCAGTTGCTTTAGAATTTCAGTTGACAACCCAAACTATTTTTCTCTATTTCTATCACACTAGTATTCTGTGTATAATTCTCTTACAATTATAGCGTGAGTTACCACAGTTGTATACTGCTCTTCCAGTAATCGTTTGGTCCTCGTACTTCAAATAACATCTGTTCCTTTTATCAAAGTGCACTCAGGCTGGTTCAATTACTTTAGAACTTGCTTTGACAGAATAAACTATACTTCTTATTTCTTTTAAAACTTAGTTTTCATCTAACATATTAATCATTAGACCTATATTAACCATTAGGCCTTTCATTCCTATGGCAGTTATCTAACATTTAACTTTCCTTGGCCAAACTTCTACTTCCTGTGACTTTACTTTCTAATCTGCTCTGTCTGTCTGCTGTTTCCGCTTGTCTCACACTATTTATATGTTTATCACTTAATCATTTGCCCACCGTCTAGAAATCTCAATATTCTCGACATCTGTGTATTGCATGCGACATTCGATAGTCTCAACATCAATGAATTATAAACACAACTTCCAACAATTGTCTGCTTTTAACTTTTTTATTATAAAAAAAACTAAACAGTCATGAAATTTTAACTCTCAAAATAAATCAATTAATACTATCTACACTAAACAGTCTTTTATATCATGACAGATTTGATTAGCAGAAACTGCTAATAAATATTGAAGTTGATTAACAATTAGTAAATATTGCATAGCAGCTTTTTTAACATTCATCATTTTAACACATTATGGCAACTAAATCCAGCACTAAAAGTCTTAGCTCTTTGTAAAAGCATCCATTAATGAAAAAGAGGTAAATGGTATGTTTTATTATAATAACACTTTTATTCAGCTTCAAACCCTAATACTTAATTGTACCGCACATGGCATTTCATGAACAAAATAGTTCCTGGTATATATAAAGTAAAACTTCAAAACTGCAAGAAATACCAAACACCCCAACTGTCACAAAATACTGCAACAATCAATCAACCAGACAAAGAAGTGACTTGAATATATTGCCATTGAACAAGGTTGCCACAAATCGTTTTTCCAATAAATAAGGTTTATTTATTTTTTCTTTTTTTGGTGAGACCTCATCACAACATGGTCTCTTTGGCTTTTTGAAAAAGAAAATGTCTAGTGACTTTTCAGCGGAAAATGCAGCACGGGGTGGGCCAGTTTTCTTATTTCTGACAGTTATCTCAAGAGAATCAACTGACAGTGTTGACTTCCAGTCTGTTTTGAATTTGTTCATGATAAAAAAATATCTTTCCATAATGCCAATAGACCATCGTAAAACTTGCAAAATATTTATGTTCTTGCTTACTGTTGAAAACTTTTTGAAATAATATTTGCCCAAATAATAGAAGGTTCAGATTTGTTTGCAAAATTGTCCCTCACAAATATTTTAAGTTGATTCCATTCAGGTAAAACATTACTCTCCTCACACTTGCATAAGGAAGATTTTTAAAGTAGTCATCCACTTTTGTCATTTCATCATTACCGTAGGTGTTAAGGATATTTTCATGATCATTTGACAAAAGCCTTGTATCCAGAAGTTTTGAACATCCCAATATTTCATTTTCCATGTTAAATTGATTCCCCACATTCTTTTTCAATGATGTCAACATACTTTTTAGAGTGCTTCAAGAAAAAAGTTCAAACCAGGTTTGACACCAGTTTGGTACATGACTGGTTCAGGTTCCAAACTGTCAGATGTTTCAGTGGACTGCTTAGCAGCTTGAATGAGGTTTCTAAGCTTACTACTACTAGCACCAGGGATTTTGTATTGGATCTTCATGTTGCAGAGAGTTTGTTTCAAATTTTTCAATGATGCAAATACCAGAGGGGCATCAACTATCTCCATTTGCCAACTTTGAGAGAGCCTTGACATAGATTGGAGGAGGTTCTCAAAATACAGCAATTGAGTTACAAATTTGAAGGATGTGAGTTTATCAAGAATACCTTTTACCTTGGCCTGATCATTGGTTTTATCAATGGCCATACTTTACATATAACATTATAGCATTTTAACAAAGCTTGAGTAGCCTGAAGTTTATGCTGTACCCAATGAGTGCCTTGTGCTTCGAGTGGTTTGTGGACAGTTTGATCCATAATGCCAAGGGACCTAAGCTCCTTAAGTCTTTTTGGACTAGTTTTGTAGGCATAAAACAAATGTTAAATAATAAAATGTTAGTTATCTCAGAGAAGTGTTTTGCCAAGTGCATCCTTCATGACTAGTTCTAACCTATGGTTGAAACAATGCACACTGATTAGCCCAGGGATTTCAGACCTCATTAGGATAGCTAAACCCCTTTTCCACCTAAGATTAACATTTTACCCACTTACACCTATTCCTACCAAGTATTTCTTGTAGTGTTCCATGTCCATGCTTAAAAAGTATTTTCAAGTAGCTTCTTCAAACCTTCTGTGGTTCCATTTTAAACATCTTTCAGAGCCAAAAAAGTTGAATTTAATTGTTCTTTATCATTAACAAGTATTATGTATATAAGCTCCTTTTCTTGAACACCACTGTCAGTACTACCATTAGTTAAAACTGAGTAAAACAGTGCCTTATTGATCAGTTCCTTCAAATCTTGGACCATAGCATCATTTATATATGACGTTAATTCCTTACAACCCATTTCATTGTGGTAGGTTCCCCCAAAATCCACACCATGTTTTTTTTTCACTGCTACAAGTGTAGGAAATTTCTTAAGCTATTACTTCTTTTGCCATAACATAAGCAATATCCATCTTGTTCAGCTTTTACACATGGCTCTTTCTGAAAAAAATATTATGATATGAATTAATTAGGAAATAATTTATAAGCAAAAATATAATATCTATTGCTATCTTCCATTGGGTGTTCACTTTAAACGTAGAAAAATTCTCTCCCCCACACAGAAACTTTTACTACGTTTTTCTTAATCCTTGTGTACTACTATCATTACGGTACCTTTATAGCCTAAGCAAGTTTTTTTAAGGAAAATAAAATCATGTGTCTGTGTATTTTCTACATTCATTTCATAAAAGAAATTGAACAATATCTATCTTCTCATATTGTACATAAGATAAAGCCAAAAATTAATTGATACAGTCATCTTCATAAGATCTGGATAGATTATACACAGCTCAATTTGTGAGAGGAAAACAAAATGGTAAAGGTAATCATACAGTCCAATAATTTCATAGAATGAGGTCAACTTGTAGGCTATATAACATAAGCCTAGTCCACAGATGCTCCAAAGATTAACCAGCTGTACACTTTGGCCTTTTATGTATAGGCTAACATAGTTATTGTGGGTGACTGACATAAGTTTTTACCAAGAGGTGTTGTCTGATAAATATTTTGGATACTGCTTAGCAAATTCTGTAGCCGTATTGCTTTTGTGCTGTTCAGTCATTGTATGTTTCATAATATTGTGTGTTGTTTCGGTGCATTTCCAGTAACTCCTACAATAAAATTCTTACTAAACTTTCTAAGGCATCGAAGTTTGGTTCGAAAGTTTGACATAATGAGCACAATATTTTTGTAACATGATTTGGACCTTCAGTTTTGATAGTTTTGTTACTCCATAACAAAATATATTCAATACAATTAAATTGATTGAAATACCTTATTATACTTTTGTATTGTGGTATTTAGCATGTAGTAAACATTTTAATATATATATGAAAGTATATGAAATTCTAAACCTATGAATAAACCTGAATCCTGATTTGATAAGTCTGGAAATTATATTCCTGTTTTACCTGCAAAATGAAAATGTAATGAAGAATCATCATGAAAAAAAAAAGTTTGTTTATTTTATTGTGATAAACCAGATACTTGCACAAGGTAAAAATTTATACTTCCTATTTTAGAACCAAAGATTTGCAATTCCAAAAAAGTAGTCTTAAATTGCCTAAAATGCACATAAAATAAAGGTTATTTCATTGATATATTTTTCTTCTATGTACATTGAGATGTCCGTGATAATGAAGAATGTTATGTTTCTAACAATATTTTTTATTAGCCATCACAGCCATCCCTCGAATTGTTTGTGAAGCTATCAATAGCCTGGAACTTGTAGACAAACAGCCATCATGGAAGATTATGGACAACAAGGGTCGTATTACAGTTGTGTTACACTGGGATCAGAGAGATATCCACAGGCGGCCAGGCCGCCAGCCGTCCACCAAGCAGGTTCCCGTATGGAGAGTAGAAGTGATGTCACAAGAAGCCCAGACTGCTGACCAAACCACTGCCGACACCAGAGACCTCTCTGCTCAGAGAGGAGCTCGTGCCAAACTTAGTCTTGAAGGTCTTGGACCGAGGCCTCCTTCTCGTATGCTGCCAAAAAAAAACCTGGAAAAGGAAAATGAAGTAAGTTTCATTTGTTAATCATTTTTTAGGATATTATTCTAATTTTTGCTTGAAAAATTAGATAATAAGGTACAAACTTTTCTAAAAGTTATTCAAACTTTTCAGGAGTTGCCAGAAGAAGGGATAGCTGCTGGACTCAGTGGAGTTGGTGCACAACGCAAAGCTGGAAAAGGCCATGTTCGCTTTCTAAATGTTACCCAAGAGTCAAAAATTTCTCAAAATGATGAGTCTGAATCAGACACAGAAAATACAGCTTATGAGGATGAACAACTCTCGGAACGTTATCTTTTGCTGACTGATCAACTATCTTTGGAGCAAAACCGCCACTTGACTATTAAAGATATTGGTGTTATTCTAGAAAGGCTCAGTTCTAAAATAGTAGATGTAGACAAATTAGAGCGAGAGAAGGAGAGCTCTGAGGTACACAACTGGACAATCAAGGCAACTATTCGCGGAGAAGTACTTCGAGAGATTGGAGTCATCTATAATGGACAATACTATGGGATAATGGAGCATCCAGGGTACTTTTGATTGATGTTCTTACCTAAGAAATTGAAATTTATTCCAATCATTGATGCTCAGCTGCTGAGGTTTGGTGCTGCTAGTTATCAAAAGTATCCACCTTGTTCACTTACTGGCAAAAGCTCAAAGAATAAAACGTATAAAGTAAAGAGTGACTGGATTTTTGAGTGTAAGGTTTTTCTATGGTTCTAATATTTAAGAGCCAGCAGTTAGGTAATCTATTTAATGTTTTGCTAAAAGTTTACCCTTTTTAAGAAATACTGTGGATTTTTATAATTTTTGTTTCGTGTTTTCTACATAATTATTTTGACATTTATAAGTAATGAGTTTTGTCAATTAGAAGATAAAAGTTGTTTGGATGAGTAGTAGATAATTTTCTTATTTGGGTAATACTGTTCTTGTACATATTTATGAACAATATAAAAGTCAATCATAATGCTTGTTTTCTATCCTTAATTTTATTAAATGTACCATCACATGTTTTAAAGGACATTTTTGTGTGTTTATGAATGTACACGTGTAGGTATATTGATAGAAAGTTATAAAGAGCATTTTTAATGATGGATTACCATATACACGGGTTTGTCAATTTGTTACACAGGTCATAGTATCTATTTGTCTGTGTAGTTCTACAGGCCTGTAGTATAGGTTTACAGACCAGATTCATTGTATCATACCTTCTTAACACTGCCAAGAGTGGAAAGCTGGGTTGTGGTTGCCTACCCTTCAGGAATAAGAGTTTTCATTATGATCAGTTGTAAGGCATCAGGTAGGTTGAGAAATACAGTTTTCGAATAGTTTTTAATAAGAGGGTTCTGCCTGAAGGGATGTTAAGGTTCATTTTTTTATTTGAACTGGTGAATTTTATCATTATATAGTAGCTCAGGTTTTTGGTAATTCATGTGAGTGTTCACTGCTTGGATGTGTATACACTGTGGAGTACAGAAATTATAGCTGAGCCAGAAGCACAATTTTTAATGCTCACCTGTTTCTCATAGTATGTAGATCTTTGACAGCTTTGGATATTTTGCAAACAGTTTTATCCCGTGTACTATAGATAATTATGTGCATTTTTGGATAGGTACATGCAAGCACAAACTCCTGTCCTATAGCCTGTCACCATGCACCAGGCAACTTTGGTACCATACATTCACAGTTTTATTAATTTTCCTATAAGACTACAGCTTTGTGACCTATGTGGTGCTGTAGCAAGCCAAACTTGACCTCAGGGGTCAGCATGGTTGTCAGTTTCCTAGGGATGGTTCTCCCACATTCCTTATACCTGTAAAAAGTTGATACTTCTTATTTGTTCTTGATTCAGTTCTCAGAAGAACAAATGTTTTGTCTGTTAGCATTAGCTATACATATACATGTGTATGTGTGTATAATTATATTTATTTTAGATCAAAATTAAGGTCTAATGTTGGGAAATCAAATCATACTTACTTTGGAGAAAATAATGTCTTAATTATTGTTTAGTGTGTGAATGTGAAAACATTTTGAAAAAATATTAGAGATTATGAATCCTGTAAATTATAATTAAATTTAATAATATTTAGTGGTGGAATGAAGTTTAAGAAGATGAATTTAAATCAAAATTATTTACCAATTGCAAAAGTAATTTTGATTGGGCCATGTGTTAAAGTGAATGTACAACAACTAGGTAATTTTGGTTGAAATTTATTACATTGGCTTTTTAGTACTAGTCACAAAAGATAAAAAGAGAACAAACTTGTTATTATATCTACTATAAACTAATGAACACATACAATTTAAAAATACTTCATTAGGTTTTGATCTATGGATTTTGGGTTGATCTTCACATTTTTCATTTGCTATTATTTTTAATTTATGTTTGAAGCATTTTTTTATAGCATTTTAATATAAAATTTGTTTTACATTTTGTAGTTCAGCAAGAAGAATATTTGAAAGGTGATAACTTTTTAGAATATTTATATTGTGTATTAGAAAGATATTAAATAAATCAATTTTATTTTTGGAGCTGTACTTAAGTTGCAGATGTGTTACAGGAATAACAGTCAATCCCTTAGTATGGATGGTGGGTAATAGGGTGCTTCTGACTGACTACCTTTTCTCTGGTCAGTAGTAAAAAATTAGGGATGGCAGCATATAGCCTTAGTAGCTTTGCCATGAATACAAAACAAAACACACATTTTTATTAATCAAAAATACACTCGTATGTGTAGTTAGACTTTATAATCTCTCTCCATATGTGTCTGTTTAATTTGTTCTGTTTTTGTGTGTGGTAAGAATGGAACCTTAATATTCAGTATTAACATATACTAGTTTTAAGTGGAGCTATATCTATGTGCATTTTAGTTTGGGAGGTTATGATAAAATGCAAAATTAAGTTTTTTCTTATGCTATAGGATAATCTTTGGGTTCTAGATCATTTTTATTTTGTAGCATTAACTGATCCTTCAGTTGCACAAGAAAGAGTGAAATATAGAATAATTGAAGTATTCAAACATTTCCAAGTCACAGAGCCTCTAGCCCAAAGTAGTAAATATTAGTTCCATATATTTACCTTAGCTTAAATGTGCTTCTTCTGCATTTGTTACAATGTGTTCTTTAAATATTTGTTTTTAAAGGTATTTTTGTGTACATGGCAAAAACATTGTCAGTTTTATATATGAGTGTTTTGTTTCCAAACAAATTATTGTAAAACAATTGACTAGAGGCCTGTTAAACTTATAATACAAATATCAAAAAGTAGATTGTCACTTTCTCACCTAAACTGTACAGTGAACATCTTATCATTTAACTGAGAATACACTCACTTGAAAAATTGTTGCAGTTTCTACTTGCATAAGACAAGACTCACGTTAGTTAGAAATGCTATAAATATTTTAGCATTTTAATTCTATCAATACTTTTAACTCTTGTCAAATATGAGATTTTTATTATTAAGAATATAACTTTTTGAAGATCTTTGATTTAGGTGATAGTTAAATTAAAGAACACAAAACTTAATAATCATATAATAAATATTAATCTTGGTTGAAAACAGCATGTTAATATATATATATTAACTTAATTTTACATTCTTTTCATATAACAAATCTAAGTGTCCCTGCAGTTTTTGGATTTTATGAGAAGATTACTTATTACAAAAACTAAGTTGTGAAGTGTAATACCCAGTAGCCATCTTTTCCATGACTATTTATTGAAATTATAAATACTGAACATTTGTACAGATGAAACGTTTTAGTTTCAGGGATAAAAATTCATAATGTGTACTTGCAGCCTGCTTCTTCTAACAACCAGAAGATAATCTGAAAGATGGAAATGCTTCAGCTTTGACTCTAGTGCTGTTCATATCAGTTTTATTTTAGGAACTTACTCGGCACTCTGTGGTTTTCCTACTCTTAAATTTTTTGTTTTAATTGAAGGAATTGATATTAATATAACTAAATGTATGAATATAAAGTTTTGAAGAGATTGGACAGGTTTTCCTCTTTCGGAGACTTTGTTTTTACATTCTGGCTAAGATAAAACTCATTTTTATATAGCTGATGTTTCTTTTTCTTTTCAGAAAGTAAAGTTAGTCATGCCATATAATCATGAAAAATTTGTGAAAATAATTTGGTCATTGTTGTATTAATGATCTCTGTGTATTTTGTGAATATTGTTTGTGCTTGTTTAATGCCCCTGAGTGTACTTCTTTGTTGAAACGTGTTACATGCGTGTTTTCATGTTACGTTGAAACTAGTTTTTGGATGCCTTCCACTGAGTGGAGTTACTTCGCTGCCTCTTAACGGGTTGGTTGGAATTCACTGAACTTGTTTGGATTTCAATTCTAGTCTAGGTTTATACCTGAAGTATGTATAATCAAAGTTTGCTGATTTTGAGCTCAAATGTGTTTTGTATTGTTCAAGCTTCTTGCATTTTTCAGAAGTTTTTTTAATACTTTTAAGTATTTGTTTCATGTTCAGTTTTGTTTTTAGCATTTATGCATTTGGTATATATATATGATTACATCATTATAAAAACTTTACTTTCAGATATGTTGTGTGTGTCTGTATGAATTAAAAAATATTTACACAAATATAATGTACAACATAAATGTTTATGGATTTAATTCTTAGGTTATGATTTCAATTTTATTGACGTTATTAACTATTAGGGAAGCAAATTACACATTTATAGGTTTCTTCTTTTTTTTTAAATCCTTCTTTAAAACCTAGCTTTTTTGATTATTGAAATATCTTTTAGAATGTTTTACTTCATATCTGTTTACATGTTAAATTTACAAATGTACCATACAAGTTTTTTGTCAAGATTCTTTAAAGATAAGGCTCCACAAAATGTCTTGTACACAAGAAACTTCGTAACGTTTATAGGTAGCTTTAATACGATATTGAACTAAAAAACCCATTAACTCAACTTGTTTCTTATATGCTTCCAAAGCAGTGTTTTGGGCATTATTATATGTTCTTGTATATGTTTTCATAGCTAACATGAATGTATTTACCAATGATGATGATATACACTGCAGCAGTGATTTCTTATTGTATAGGTTAAAATGGTCAAAATAATTTCAGTATTCTATTAGAGAATAAGTAGAAAAGAATTTAGTAAAGAAAAACCTTTTTATTGGGTGTATGTGTTCATAAATAAAAATACTTCCTTGTAAAATGTATTTATTATAATGTATAAAATAATACCTTATTTATCCCTTTTTGAATGATACTTGTACATATAAATAGTTTCGTGTTTTACTATCGATGTTTAAGTTTCTAGTTGGGAACATTCCACTTTTATATATCCTTATTATAACTTGTTAGTGATTGTAGTTTTAATTTATTTCTTTTTAACTTACAAAGCTCTAAAACAGTTTTTTGCTTCTATTTGAAATTAAGCCAAACTGATTAAAATTTAATGAATGTCACCATTTAATTTTTTATTACAAGTGCTGTTTAAGATTGAGTTTAAATTACGAAATTTATATATATATAATATACACTATTGTAATTCATGACAAATTTTATATTAAATGCAACCATTTTTTTCCATGTATCAATTAATAATTGTAGAAGTAACTGATTTTTGTTTATTTTTTTAAATATGTATTCATATTTTGGTCTCAATATACAGTACTTGATCTGTAATGTGAGCTTACAGCATCTATCAAAAACCTTATATATTTGAGTTAGCATATATATTGACATTTTCCATCTGACTATATTCACACTTAGATAACATAATTTTTAAACATGCAGAAGAAACCAGTAAAGTAATTTTGCTTTAATTTTGTTAC